GAAAACTTAGAACTGAAGAATTTCTCAATAATCACATTTTCACAATTTAACATTCTTACAAACTAAAAGGCCCCTGCTTTCTAAACATAAAATCCACCAGAACAACTGAAAACCTAAAGCACTGGATAATGCATTAGTGCAGGGAACACCCATTACATCCCTGTTTGATTTAGCGGGAATCCTCTATTGCTATTTCAGAACTGTCTAATTGCGACCCAGATCATCATTCTGTCTCATGTCAGTGGAAAGGCTTAGAGAGACCTTAAATCCTCAGATCGAATAACCTAATGTGAATGAGCTCAAAGAACCAAGATAACATCCCTGAGCGCTCCAGTTGGCAATGAATCAGGCTCAGCTTTAAGATCATTCCTCTCAGCATGTGATTTACAACACAGCTCAGAACACTAAAGTAGGGAATTTGGGAAGAAAGGTTTTAAACCTGTCCTCATCATTAAATAACTCTACAGACCCAAGGTTATCACGTTTCATTGGAATTGTCTGTCACATTTATTAAACGTCTATTAATCAAAAGACTTAAAGAACTGTGTAGAAAAAAAAAGATCAATAGTATTTTGCATTGTAATTGTGAAAAAGTGGTTAAACGTATCTACTTTCATACCTTCCTGTGATAAGATAATGAACTTGGATGCCTTCACAATTTTCCCATCAAGAATCCAGGTGATGACAGCTTGGGGGTCAGAGGTCACCTGACACTCTATCCTCAGCCTCTCTCCATCCACCGCAGTGATGTCACCGAGGGGCTGTTTGAAAATGGGCAGCTTTCCTGCATCCTTCTCTCCTCCATTCACAACTTTAGCCTTTTTGTCATTTGTCTCTGCCATCTGTCCATCATTTGTCTTCTTCTCTGGGCTGGCTTTCTCCTTTTTTTCAGTTGTCCCTGCATCCGTGCTGCTGGCTTTTTTCTCGGTTGCTTCGTTAACCTTTTTATCAATTGCACTGCCATTTACACCATTGACACCGCTTTGCTTTTCCTTCTGGGGTGTCTTGGGTGCTAGTTTTGATGAATTCTGTTCATTTTGCTCAGTCTTCTCTGGTTCTGGTGCTTGCTTCTTGTTCAGGACAGACCTGAAGTCTGAAGGTGCACTGCTTGGAGGTAGTGTGGCAGCAGATGCTTTGGGTGAACCATCTTTCTTGTTGAGGAATGATCTAAAGTCAACCTTTGTTGGGGTGCTTGTCTTGATCTCAGACCCTGGCTTAGGCCCCGAACGGGGCTTTAGAGCTGCCCTAAAGTCTGTCATCTGGCTTCCTTTGCTAACCCCTAGAAATTAAAACCAAATATATGAAATCTCCTTTCGTCAATTGCTCTCAGCTCCTTTGGTAGGGGTTTCTTGCAGTTCCACAAGCTGTAAATAGATACGGGTGTCCAGTTGTATGAACGATCCCACTGATCCAGTGACTTTGTGGAGGTCCTGCTCTGTCTGTGGCTTCCAGTCACTGTGCAACTCTCTGTTCTTCCCACTCCTGGGACAACCCCTCTGGACCAGAATGAAAGAGGGAGGAGAGAATTGAGAGTAGACAGAGGACATACAGAGGGAAGGAGAGAGATATATGAGGGTGGGGAGTGGAATTGGATTGTTTAAAACCTTAGGCTCCATTCTATAATAGGTTAATTGGAGACATGAACACATTTCATATCTATGTGGCATCAAAGGGGGGAGCGCCGTTGCCTTATTAGGGAAACACTTCCAGTGCATGGGCATCAGCACAGCAGAACAGAGCTAGGAGGTAAACAGATGGCAAGATATCATCAGAATCTGATTCATTACTAGTATGTTAAGGATACAAACACAGATAAAAATCTTGAGCCTGTCAACAGTGCCTGATTTGGAATTACATTCATTAAAAAGCAAGAACTTTTTAATAATGAGAAAAGGAAGAGAATCTCACTGTTCCTTTGCTGCTTGGACAGAAACCAGAAAAGAAGTGTTCTGGTTATTCCGTTGGGTGTTTCTTTGGATGCTCCTAACTTTTTGACCTCTCTATAAATGGGGGCCCCTCATTGGACCATTTTGAAGATGCATTTCACCAATCAGAGTTGAGTTGCATGTCTGCAACAGTTTATATTAAAATGTTACATGGGCAGCCTTATATGGCTATGAACCTCTCTGTTAGTCTTCTACTCGTGCGTGTGTGTGGAAGATGGACACAACATGGGAATGTCTCCTAGATAAAATAGCTTCCTGTGCTGTTTTGCTTCACCACAAGGTGAACTGGTGAGTGAATTTTCCATTGCTGCTGGTATGAAACAGTCACACTCACATCTTTAAATGAATCTACTTCTTATTCTGTAAAAATCCAATCCTCATTGTCATTCCTAGAGGTCTTAGAGATAACCATAATGATGAGATGGGATGTGATATCATGAGTCATAATGGAGAGGTCTGCTTCTGATCGGGGGCAGCTGCCGACATCTGAGAAATACTTTTAAATATTACATTCAAAAACAAAGCTTCAAAAAGCTGAAAAACACATTACTATTGTGTGGGTTTTAAACTCTGGTCAGCAAAATTCCAAATTCTATTGTTAACAACAAAACAATGGTTAATTAAAGCATATGTCATGAAAAGACCCTCACCGCCTCTTTCTGGGAGTATATCTTGGGCATTGCTGCAGGAACATTAACCAGACTTATTAGGAACAAACAGAAATGAGTAAGCATCTCATTTTTAACTGCCACCCATTTATGTGCTATCCTCAAGCATTTCCACAGCTTTGCTCTGCTATAAAAAGCTCTCTTGGCTTGGAATGCGCACTTATTATTATTTTTTAGTGTATACCATAGAGAAGACAGTATACAATTGTTTTGTAAAAAGGCATTAATTGTGCAAAATAAAAGTAAAGAAAAAAAATCTTTTAACTTTAGGTCATCACTTTTTTTAACCTTTATAAATTTTAGCTAATTTATTCACACGAGAAGTGCTAAGTTTATAGTCAACATTTTCACACATACTTTGCCTGCATTTATTTGCACAAGCCACAAACTGGTAAACTGTGACTTTCTATAAGCAGCATTTATTGTAATCAGTTTTGCTAAACATACAGTACAAAAATAGAAACAGTCCAATGATAATTATATATTCAAAAGAAAGCAAAAAGTCATTGCTTTTTCCTTAAATAACACCAGATTACTAACATATGACTTCATTCAAATTGTTTATCAGGCTAAAAAGACCTTACAGGACTAAAGATGATGCCTGAAGGGAATAAATTAAGTCTCAAACTTTTAGAAAAATTCTTTTTGAACAGTTTTAAAGCTACAATGTAAAATATGTTAGATGTTCCAGGCAGTTGTTGCATCTGTGGAATAACAGGATGAAAAAAAAAAACGAATTGGAGAAAAATAGCAGGAATGTTCTAGAATGAAGAGTATATTGGCATGAGTTGGGTGGATACTCTTTACCTTTTAAAGCAGTTTAACAGAATACAAGTATGTCTGATATGTATTAAAGGAGAAATCACAAATCAAATCTTAGGCCTGAAAATTCTTATTGCTTGCAAAATGGAATATACCTTATACTTGATGCACAAATACACATTTGATCTGGATTAACCCTTCATTGTGATTTTTACCATTTAAAATTTGAGAAATCTGCCAAAATCTATGATCAAAACCCAAATCTCAGTCAAAATTATTAATTATTCAGTTATTATTCAGTTGCTAGAGTCTTAAGACTATATGTGCTTAAATGTGAGCATACTGTAACTTACTATAGAAACTGCATTTTCTCTCAAGGGTTAACAAGATAGCTAGTCTCCATGACACCCTGAATTACTACATACGATAGCAATAAACTGGGAGTACACAAGTGATACATTTCTTATACCATTAATAAACACTCATCTCCTTGCATTTAAATTGTGACAATACCCATGCCACATTCTGAAATAGTAAAACAACAGTGGGTGTGACAGAATAGAGAGGGCATCCCTTAATATCCATGCCGAGAGTGGTGTGAAAGGAACACTACTATACGCTTTGTATCTGAGAATGGAGAAGCTCTCATCTGGGGCAGACAAGCAAGGGGACACTGTTTACAGAACAGCTTGTGTGGTCTTTCTTCTTCTGAGACCAGAACCTTATATGTCCATAAAGACTTGGACTTCCAGATCAATCAGCACTTCTCATACCAGTCATGATTCAGGGCTTCTGCATACTGTTCAACAATGGTTCTTTTTAGAGAATGTTGTCGGGTAATATATAATGTTTCAGACTGGTTAAGTTGCACATTTCACTTTGAAAGATGGCTGTTAGTTATATCATCAGTTCATGATCCATGGCTGTTACATGTAACAATGACAATGACCTCCCCCCCTCCTTTAAAAAAAAAATAATAATATGCATTTAAAACAAAATATATATGATTACACATTTTGAATAAAAAAATATTATAAATGATTTTAATGTTTTTTTTTTATTTTTTATAAAATGATAAAGTTATGCACACTCACTTTCAAGGGCCAAGGGAAGTATTTTAGTAATTTTTATGCAATAGTTAAGCATTTTACATTTTAAAGTTATTAGAAAATGGTTATAAATGTTACGCACATAAATGTAGGCCATAAGACCTAAATAAAAGTATATAAAAAACCAACTTGGTAAATATGTTTTAAACAACATTTTACAATGTTTCTTCTTCTTCATGATCTCAAACATCCTTAATTGTCACTGACTCAGGAGTCAATCTATGAAATCTACAAGACTAGACTGTGGGAAAAAAGACTAGGTCTGCCATCTCGTGGTAGATAATTTGACCCAACTGTCCTCATGTGAAATTAAGTAATAGAGAGAAACGTTAAGAAATGTTTTCTGTTATCTGTCTATAATCTGTATACAATATAAGAGAATCATGATGCCGGAATTGTAGTCTTTATTAAATCTTATTTAATGCTTGTTTGACCTAAATATGGAACAAATGGACCAGTCTGTACATAAATTGACCTGTATCTCCGGACAGAGGACCTGATTGGCAAGTGCAGCAGGCACGTCATAGTGGGCGGGATTACAGTACACTAACTTCCGCATTACTGTTTAGTTTAGTTTTGGGCTCAGTTTCGCGTTGTCAGAAAAAAAATTGACTCAGAAGCAGCTTTTTATTTCGTAAACAATGTTTGTAACCATTCATTTGCATAAACAGATTTACATGAAGTAATTAAATAAAAACGGGACGTGATATAAACAGCGTATAAAATCAGTATTCAGTCGTCCTGAAGAGTTAACTGCCTCATAACTGAAAGATGTTAAAAGCGATTATCATAATTGGGGGCCCTCAAAAAGGTGAGACATTGTTTTTTTTAACTGTACTGAATGTTATGACTTATGAATGACAGATGAATGATACCGCAACAACACATACGATGACGTGGCGCAAAGGACGTAGCTACGTGATCGCGTTCGATATGATAAAGTCAAATTAGTTGTAACGTTACAAAGTTACGGTCTTAATATAAAAGTGGCAAATATGGTGAAATATGGATATTAAAGCGCATTAATTCATTAATATGCCCTGCGTTCAGGTACCAGGTTCCGCCCCCTGTCATTCGAGGTGCCCAAACCGCTGTTCCCTGTGGCAGGAGTTCCCATGCTGCAGCATCACATAGAAGCCTGTGCCCAAGTAAGACCATTGATTATGTTTAGAAGCATAAAATGTAACATTATTCACAGTAATCAATATCTGTTTTGAAAGTTTACCATGTTTTAATCTGTTTTATACAGGTTCCTGATATGAAAGAGATCATATTAATAGGTTTTTATCAGCCCAATGACGAGCTTAACCGCTTCATTTCTTCTTCTCAGCAGGAGTTTAAAATCCCAATAAGGTAGAAACGAGTTCAGATCACTAGATATTTTAAATAAGGACACATTGAAACTGTTTATTGTGTTATATAATACAGTGTGGTTGCTGCTATATTGATATTCTGTCTCACAGATCTGATAGTCCTGTAATTTAAGAACCAGTCAAATACATAGGCTTAAACACATTTTCTTCCTTTTTGAATCTGAAGGTACCTGCAGGAGTTTGCCGCCCTGGGTACAGGTGGAGGGATCTATCACTTTCGTGACCAGATCCTGTCTGGGGGTCCGGTTGCATTTTTCCTCATGAATGCTGACGTATGCTCGGAGTTCCCATTGCAGGAAATGCTCCGGTTTCACCGTCAACATGGCGAGAATCATTGTGGAGTCTTGCTTGGCACTACAGTAGGTATACAGTAGAGACTGGGTAACATGATCTTGGGAATTTAATCCAAATGTCTTACTGAAATAATATAATATTCTATAATATAATATACAGTACTGTTCAAAAGTTTAAATGTTTTTTAAAATGTTTTTGAAAGAAGTCTCCTATGCTCACCAAGACTTGTTTTGGACTTGTTTTGTTTGTATTTTTGGATCAAAAATACAGTGAAAGCATTAATATAACAAATTATTACTATTTAAAAAACTGTAAAAACGGTTTTCTTTTTAAATATATTTAATGTAAAATATAATCTTTTTATAATTTATTCTTTTGATGGCAAAGCTTCGACAGTCATTACTCCAGTCTTCAGTGTCACATGATCGTTCAGAAATCATTCTAATATGCTGATTTGGTGTTTCAGAAACATTTCAAATTTTTTTTAATCACTGTTGAAAATAGTGGTGCTGATTATTATTTTTGTGGAAACTGGTAAATTGTTTCAGGATTGTTTCTATATCTCTCTCATTGCAGGCCAATAGAACACAATCTCTGAATTACGGTTGCATTGTGGAAAACCATGAGACAAATGAGGTACTATAAAGAAAACCGTGCAATATTGCTGTACAAGATGGACAAACATTCTGTTTAATAAATGCCATTAAGAAGATGCTTACTTTTTCACAGTATGCTAATGTGTTTCAGAAACATTTCAATTTTTTTTAATCACTGTTGAAAATAGTGGTGCTGATTATTATTTTTGTGGAAACAGTGGTAAATTGTTTCAGGATTGTTTCTATATCTCTCTCATTGCAGGCCAATAGAACACAATCTCTGAATTACGGTTGCATTGTGGAAAACCATGAGACAAATGAGGTACTATAAAGAAAACCGTGCAATATTGCTGTACAAGATGGACAAACATTCTGTTTAATAAATGCCATTAAGAAGATGCTTACTTTTTCACAGTATGCTAATTATCACTCATTTTCTTTCAGGTGCTCCATTTTGTGGAGAAACCCAGTACTTTTGTAAGTGACATTATCAACTGTGGTATCTATTTGTTCACACCAGATATTTTTGGCCACATTGGGAAGGTTTTCCAGAAGAACCAGCAAATCCAGTGAGTGTCACTAACATAATTCAGCCTTTGCAGCCTTCCCTGGATAGATTTATGTGTATAATAATAGGTCAGTCTGACCCGTTTGCACTGAAATGCGTTTTTTTTTTTTCCACAGGGAAGAGCTCACTAATGGCAAGCAGATGCCAGAGGTGATTCGGCTAGAACAGGACATCTTTACAACCCTAGCGGGACAGAAAAAACTTGTTGTCTACAAAACACAGCATTTCTGGAGTCAGATAAAGTCTGCAGGGTAAATCTGCCTTTCTCTCAATTTTTACCTGTTAGCTCCCCTTTCTGTCACTGTTTCTTATACATGATGTTATATAACGTAACACAGGTCAGCAATATATGCTAGTCGTTTGTACCTCAAGCAGTATCATCAGACACATCCTGAAAGACTGGCCACAAACCAAGATGGAACCCCCAAAATAATAGGTATGTTGCATGAAGAATTCTCTCTGAACAAGTTGATCTTAAAAATGTTTTTTTTATCAAACACAATTTACCTATGTAAATATAGAACTCACTAGTTGTATTATATAATTATATGCAGCTACAAGGTCACTGAAAATTTGTTTTCCACCTTCAGGGGATGTTTATATCCACCCTACAGCAAACATCGATCCCTCTGCTGTGGTAAGAACATAGGCAACAACTTATATACAGTAAATATATGCTTCTGCATTGTATTCAATTTCTTTCTCTCCATTCAGTTGGGTGCTAATGTTTCCATTGGCAAAGGGGTGACAATTGGAGGAGGCGTAAGAGTGAGGGAGTCCATTGTTTTACATGGAGCCGTGTTACAGGTGAAGTGGGTCACTCTTGTGTTCACATTTGCTACAATGACAATCAGACATTAGAAAGAAACATGACATTGATTTTTATTAAATATGTGAGTCTCTGTTTCAGGATCACTGTTGTGTGTTGAACAGTATTGTTGGGTGGGACAGTACAGTGGGGAAATGGGCAAGAGTAGAAGGAACTCCGAGTGACCCCAATCCCAACGACCCATATGCTAAGATTGACAGCGAGACTCTGTTCAGAGATGGAGGTCTAACCCCATCCATCACCATCCTTGGTATGAAGATCTTGCCTCTATTATAATCTAGTGGCAACATAGATAACACAATACAATACAATACAATACAATACAATACAATACAATACAATACAATACAATATAATATAATAATGTTTTTAAATTTTAAAATATTTGTTAATGTTTTATTAAAGAATGCTCAAATGCCAAATTTATTTGGTAAAAAAATGCAGTAAAAATAGTAATACTGTGAAATATTATTACAACTCTTTTCTGTTTTAATATATTTTAAAATGTAATTTATTCCTTTGATGGTAAAGTTCAATTTTCAGCTGCCATTACTCCAGTCTTCAGTGTCACATGATCCTTCAGAAATCATTCTAATATGCTGATTTTTTT